TTACTAGCACAGAGAGAGATGTGAGCATCCCACTTTACTCAGCGCTTGTCAGGCCGCACCTGGAGTACTGGGTCCAGTTCTGGTCCCCGCAATTCAAAAAAGATGCAGACAGACTGGAGAGGGTCCAAAGGGGAGCCACAAAGATTATCAAAGAGGTGGACAACTTGGGTTAGGTCTTCTCACACTGGAAAAGAGAAGGCTCAATGGGAATGTCACCACAGCTTTCCAGTACTTGAAGGGCAGCTACTAAAAGGACAGAGGTTCTCTCTTCACTAGGAGCCACATGGAGAGTGGAGAGGACAAGCGGTAACAGGTACGAGTTCACTGGGAGAGGTTTCATCTTGATAGAAGAAAGAAATTTTTTACAGTGAAAACAATCATACACTGGAACAACCTCTCCAGGGACATGGTGGAGTCCCTATCACTGGAGGTTTTCAAGATGTGATGGGACAGGGTGCTAGATAATCTCATCTAGCCTCCCCTTCCCATGAAAGGCTAGACCAGATGATCTTCTGAGGTCCCTTCCAACCTGGGCTTTTCTGTGATTTTATGAAAATATACCACAACTTAATTATGTTTGCTCTGAAATATTTCTATTTAAAGCTTGCTCACTGCAGACGTAACGCTTGCTTTCTTTTTCCTCCCTCTTTTCTCGCCCATTTCCAGTATGAGGAAATTCTAAGTAAGGAGAATTCATGAAAAATTGTATTCTCTTAGCACTGATCTAATCTTACAACACAAATGGACTGAACCCATGGGAACATTAAACCGAAATTCCACATTTTTTAATCTTTCAGTCAAGAACCAAAGGCTATTGGTTTATTTTTTAGAAACAATAATCAGGCAAAATGAATGGCCATCTCCCCATTCTCATTGCTAACCATGTATTACCAAAGATCCGCCATGCTCCTTGCTATGAACTCCACAAGGACGTCTACCAGTGAGACAGAAGTGAAGAGACTGTTAGAGAAATCCCACTAAAATGAAGTGTCTTTTCAGTTTAACACAGCTAACAGAAAAAGTTACAGTCATCACAAATTATTTAAGCTCTTAACAGAACAGCTTTCACATGCTTTCTGAAGCAAGGAGAATACCAGAATTAGTACAACAAAGTTCTGTTACAAGAAGCCAGGGTTATACAAAGTACTGTAATCTGTGTCCTACAGTAACCCAGTAGTCTTGTAAGATATTAAACTACCTTCTAAAACACCACAGAAAACAAAATACACGGGCCAGTGACACAGAGCATAGAGGTACGAAGTAACTGGAGCACCTCTAACTGAAACAAACCTCCAGTGACATCTGTACAGGCGGCCACCTAGAAAGTCCCATTAAAAGGAAGCGAGCAGCCTTCTGTACTTAAAGCCAACACACAGACTGCTCTTACAGAGCAGAAGAAGGAGTGTAGGTTTTAGTGAACTTTAAAACATTTATCTTCCATTAGTAATACAAATGGGTTTGCCTTTTCAGCTTTGTGGAAGTTTTGGAATGGAAAGTTGGAGAGGGATTCCAAGACAAGGAAACACAGCAGAACTTAGAACTGGCATCTTTTTCTGTGTCTAATGCATCACATCACCATCCTCCCTACACCACATAGCAGGGGCATAAAGCAGAAATGGAGCTTAACTTCCACAGTGCTAAACACATCTTGATCAAAGAGACTTGCTGTAACCTGTGCTCAGAACAGATGGGACAAACAGGCGGAGGGCAGCTAAGTAAGTACATAAATAAAAAATAACAGCACAGGTAAAAAATCCAGGATAATGAGCTGAAATTTGATGTGACACTTATGTGCTCTGTAACCGTATTCAGCCAAAGGAGAAAGAATGGTAGCTAACAGTCACATACGATGGTCAGGAAAAGGACATAGATGAGCAGAATAAGCAAGCCTGAAAGAGACAAAGTAAGTATACATCACCTTGTTTTCTACTACGTCCTGTTACTTGATTAATAATGCACATGCATTCTTTAATCTACACCGTCTATAAAAGTAAAAAAAAATCCCATCTCCTAAGTAAAACAATATCTAGCATACAAACATAGTTTCACTTTACCAGTAGTCAAGTTTTATGGACTACACATTTCTGAGTGTTTCCATACGTATTACACAAGAAGCTCACACATGTAGAGTCTTTCCCAAGCAGCTAGATGTAACGCAGCAAAGCTGTTAAATGCATCCCTTACCTGCCCCAAAAGAAGGAAAAAAACTTCAACTTTACCAATGCCTTTTTATCCTTCACACCTTCCTCCTGTAACATTCCCAAAAGATTTACAGCCAGCTGCTGCCTGGTAGTTCCAGAAACATCCTCTGATAGGCAGTCCCCAACTGTTGTAGAAGTTAAGATCTGCAGCACAGGCATCACCAAAGTGAGGGCTGTGGTTGAGATGTTCTGGGTTTCTGAACAGGAAAGGAGCTTGTAGGCTATTTAAGGCAAGGTGAGGAAAAACAAAGATCACATAAGGAAAAAAGAACTAACATAATTTCTACTTTTAGGCGTGACACAAATGTTTCCAGGAAACACTCTGGTCAAGCAAGTAACAGTCGCCAGAATCACAGTATGCGCATAGTAGAGCTAAAGTGCAAAAGATTTTTTGGTAAAACTCCAATTCTATGTAGAGACTCATACATTTCTGTTGTTTACAGCAAAGTACCTGATAGCAGCAAGAAATAACAATAATCAAATGTAGCACAGTCCTTTGCTTGTACTGCAATAACTCCACTAATCAAAACTGCTAAGTTGAAAGCTCAGCCAAACATTGCCGTGACTGTCAAGCCTGCTCTCTTAAGATGTGTCAAAAGGGGCCATCCAGTATGCATGAATCTCAGCTGAGAATATCCTGTTGTTGACTCAAAAATGAAACAGATAAGCTCCAAGATAGCAGGGAGCTTAGAACATAACAACATTCATGGAAAAAGTCAGTGTAGCTGGAAAATTTATCTTTATTGCTATTAGATCAAATGTTTCCTTTTAAATTTGGGAAAAATCCTGCTTATAAAAAAATGTCACCACTCAATCCAACTTCAGAGGAATGCAGTGCTTATTTTCATAAACATGAAGAAACAAAGACATGGTCTCAAGAGTGTGGATTCCTCTTTCATAAGAAGAGCTTTACCTAAACTCAAGACAGACTTCTGCTGACTTTCTGGTGTTTGCAGCAGTAGAAGTGCTAGCCCAATTACACACTGTTCCACTGGAAATACCTACAAGGAGAAAAGAAAGAGGTTTGAGTCTTCCTCATTTCTCAGTGGCATTAAACAGTACAAACAGCCAACAACCAAAATGCTACAAGGAGTTTCTTTGTGAGTCATAGTGAGTGCACACACAGCAACACAGCACATGCAATGAGGAATATGAAGAGCGTAAAAATAGTATTTTAACTTAGTAACTACAGTATTTTAATTTGTTCAAACCATATTAGCTCAGTTTAAACCAATGCCCATACTAAAAGGTTAACTGATATATACAGAACCAGTTAAGTTTTTGCCTTCTGAAGGTCTTCAATCAAGAAAAAAAAAACCAACAACAAATTAGAAGCTTTTGAAACAGCACTAGTCACTTGCAGATGAATGTGTATCAATGTCTCTAAATATGGTCTTAAACATGACATCCCTTAAATTTAATACAACTGTTTTATTTTTTCCCCATGAACTCTCACCTCTTTTAAGACCTCAAAGTTGTCCTCTATTAGGGAGATCAAAGATGAGCATTCTCCCGTTACATTTAAAGATACTTCACAGAAGCATAACAGTTGCATACAAAACTGGGATAACTGAACTTTCCAAAACACAGGATAGCGCAGTAGGCCAAGGAATAGCTCTTGCAGAAAGAATGAGGCTTCTGTAACTTGCAGCAAGTCTTTAAGCTGTACGAAAGGAAACAAAACCAAAACACATTCTGGTTTAGTTCCCCTTCCCGATCTAAACAGAATTTCCCAAGTCTAGAATTAGTTCTACTAGCTCTGCAATGTTTCTGTTGCAAGTATTACTAGGACTTTGAAAAAACACTTATAAACTAAACCCAGGAATCTCTTATCCAACTTCCCTGAAAAAATAACAGATGAATGGCTATTTAATGTTTTGAAGTAAAATTAGAAATATGTGAAAGAATAAAAAGATTTCTCAGTAGCTGACACAAACAATCACTTTTTCCTCAAAAGCAATAGCAAATTAATTCAGCTCTCAGGGTTCTCTCAGCAACTTAAAACAAACGCTGTGGGGATTTCATACAGCAGGTAAATATTCTTGTAACAGAAACATCCCGCTCTAAGAGATTTCCTCTGTAATGTAACCAAGATTTTAATATATGTCTCAAAACAGAAAGGCAGTGGTGTTATCTGCTTCTAGTGCACCATGTAATCTGCCTACTACAAAAATGAAAAGCTGAAGTGCAATACCCAAAAGCAGTATCTCCATACTTTGAAAACAAGTAAAGAGGTTTCAAGAATCAAGTTGCCTCAAAATCCTAATGTGTTAGATGAGAGCACTTCTCTTGAAAACTCCAATTCCAGACAAACCCAGGTGTTCCAATCCAAACTGTGGAGCCAGCGTTAAGGATAAGATCCTGATTTTTAGTCCCCTGGAACAAAGTCTATTAACAATCTGCTTTAATTGGAAGCCTCATGCCCACTGAATTTTTCAGCAGAAAAGTCTATAGGTAACAAGCTGTACTTTTGATAGCTGGGTTGATATTGTCAGACAAAATGACTAGGAAGAGTTTCAGCAATTTTATATAAGCCAGAGGATTAAATAAGGGTAAGTTTAAAGGAAGGACAAGAACGTGAGCTTCAGAGAGAGAACGAGAAGGGACGACAGGTTATAAAAGTCCATCAAACGGACTTCTTGAAGGAGGTATTTCCCTTTCCATTGAGAAAGTTGTAACTCAGGCAAGATAAAAACATTTAAGTATTAATCTGAGTTTAAAAAAAAATGCAACATCTTTTCCAGTTAAAAAAAAAGTGCCAACAAGCATGGAGCAAAGAAGGGTTCATAACTAATTCTGTTAAGTCTTCTTCAGCACCATTTTTACCGCTAAATGCTACCAAGTCAGAAGCTTGGTCATACATTCAGGACACGACATTATACTGAAGTTCAGGTAGAATCAAGACAAAATCAGAAACGACCCCATGACTAGAAAAAGTCAACATGTACCTGCCATCACAAATAGTAGACCTGAACAAAGATAAATGTGTATAATACAAGTTATTATTTGTCCAAAAGATTGTGAAAAGTAGTTATGAGCAGAAGTAGACTTTACTAGTAAAATTCCTCAGGAGGAAGATGCTACCACCTATCCTTATTTCAAGCCTGTTTAGCTTTAGATTACTAGTATTATCAAACCCTCTTTCTATGGCAATAACACCATAGTACCTCATAGTTTCTTGAATGTATTTGAAAATGAAGACGTTGCTCTAATATTAAAAAGGAAGCAAAAGGCACATAGGTACAAAAAAGCTTAACCAATGTGACAGTAAAGCCTGAGGTAAAGCAGAGCTACTAACCTTAACCAACACCCTAGACTCCTAATCAAAGGGGACAGAAAGATTAAATCCCTAGCTCCTAGCAAATACCACTGTGCATCTTAAAAATACATTCAAAAACTTCAGCATATTCCAGAGGGATTAAGTTTTGTCTTCAGATCACTAACCCCTCTGTCACAAAGAGCAAGAAAGGAATATCTAGGAGTACTTAAATCACGGTTCTCACATAGTTAGTTTAATTTTAATATTATCCATGTTAAGCTAAAACCGGCATATTTTTGACAAATATCTTACCATTTAACAACATTCTCTCACAGGCATCTCTACAAGTTTACTGAGGCAACTAGTGGCACATAATTATGGTAAACGTGTTTCAATTTATACGTTATCAGGTGTATCAGATTTGAACACTTTAGAAGTTTTACCTTCTACCAGAAAGTGCCAGTTTGTTAGAGATCTGTACTACCAACAAATCAGGTCTACAGGAAACGGAAGAGAATGCTGTATTTGCACAGCTGAAAGCCAATAATAACACTACCATTGGTTTGATAGCATTTATTTATAAAATAAATTCAGGCAACAACTGTACCTGAAGGTGTGGAATCAAATCCCACAGAAGTTGAAGAATCTGGCGTTCCATAATGGAGGGTGCTTCTTCATGCTTTGGACCATGAGGCTGAAGTAAGATCTTAAGTAAACTCATTCGCAGTTCAGCATATTCACGCAACTGAGATGGTTCACAATACAGGTATCTTAGAAATGGAGCCATTATGCCAACACACGAACTCTGTGCCCTGCAGTTCAAGAAGTAAGTTTGCCAAGACCGCTTTCTACTGAAAACTAATCAACCAACCACCAATGTGGCATTCCTTGCACTAATTTACAGGATGCAATTAACAGAAAGGTGTTATGAAAGGCATTACTAAATCTCACAAAAACCTTTGACTTTTTAGCATGAAGTACTGTTATAAGACCTTATATAGCAACCATGCAATGAAGTGAAATTGTGAGAAGATTCAATATTTAAGATGAATACTACTCAATATGTACTTGCAGATTATGACACTTAATTTATTCTTTCTTTTTTCTTGTTAATTCTTGTCAAGTGACTTTCACTGCTGAATGTCATATGAGGACGAGCGTGCCTTTCTGAAGTAGCATTTGGACAAGACTATTCAGAAATATCTTTTAAAAAACACATAAAATCTAATTTCAATTAAAAAAGCGCCATTCATTCCTTGACAGTTTTTGCCCAGTGGCCTTAAACAACTACATGAAACAGGAACTGCTTTAACCAAGTTGCCTTCTGAGTAAAAAAATTTATCACAGAACAATTCCTTTGGCTTGACCACGTTAGGAAAAGCAGCTGTACTTGACATTATTAAAACAATCAAATAAGGCTCGTGATGAATACATTAACAAATATCCAGGGAACCAAAATTATAAGTCAGTTTTAAACAAGACTCATCCCTGATGCAGAGCTTTACAAAGAACGCAATAACAGATCTACATCAACTAACGTGGTGTTTGTTGATGTGGTGCTTAGGGACACAGTTTCATGAGGGACTTGGTAGTGTCGGGTCAATGGTTGGACTTGATGTTATTAGTCTTTCCCAACCTGAATGATTCTATGATTCTATATTCTCAGACTAGAACTTTATTTCACAGAAACCTTTGCACAAAAAGCAGCAAAGGAAGCTTAAAAACTTTTCCTTTTCGGCAAACTAACACCCCTGTTGTAATTCAAAACAAGCCACCAGTAAGAAATCTACAGTTCACCCCATCATTCAGACATCTGACAGGAGTCTTCACAAGACCGAGGTTTAGCAGCTGAGCGGAAGAATCAAAAGTATTTAAAAAAATATTCTGATCAATTAAATTGAACAAAACACACTTTTGCTTGAACATCTTACTGTTGAATATGTTGTTTAGGCCTATTAGAAATTTAACAAACTTATTTCTTTAGTCACAGCAACAAAATACAGAAGTCAATTTCACCCTACTATTACTCTGTTGGATTTGTATAAATCTTCCATAAAACAGGAGAAAAGAGATACTTTTTATCTGAAAAGGATACTTATAGGTGTAAAATCACTGAAAACATCTAGCTTTAAGGCTGCTACAGCTTTTGTTATTTTACACTCTACTGGATAGGTTCCTTGGAAGTAAGCATGAAGAAACGTTGAAAGTGTTGGTAGCTTGGATACTTGTTCATTGTTAAAGATATTTTATAGGGCTGTGCCACCGATTTTTTTTTTTTTTTTAAATCAAGAAGCATACATCATTTTTAAAGGCCTCATCTGTTACTGTGAGATATAATTGTCTGTGCTTTCCCTTTATCATCCCACCATTTTGTATAGATGAGTTATACCTGCATATTAGTCATCTTTTTTGACTAAGCAAAATCTTAACAAAGCAAATAATCAAAATTGCTTATTTAAAAAAAAAATTTCCAAAGGTGCTATCAATTTTGCACCCATTTTTCCACATCCATAAAAATTTTATCAACACAGAAGAGTTAAGAAAAAAAATTTTAAATCTATTTTTGATAGATTATTCTAGTATTTTATTAATATTCTATTTTCAACCTTTAAACAGTGTAACTAAATTTTATAATTATCTTTTTCAAAAGACAGAATTCTTCCTGCTCATTGCAGTTGCCTTCAGGAAAAAAGTCACACTGATACGATTAAGTCATCTACATTTGCCATTTTTTAATTACTTATTCATTTACCTCTCTGGACACTGATGGAAAAATACTGTTATCTGCTGCAGTAGAACTGGCCAGCAATCAGGTCTGTTTTCAAGGACATTGATTAATGGATGGGGATTGTTCCTGAAACACAAAGAAATCACATTTGGATATATTATGCCGAAAGAGAGTGTACAAAATAACTACCTTCAAAACAAAATCAGCTGTAGCAATAGACAATTAACCCCCTAGTATTACCAACTCCCTTCACCAGCTTTGCCAAGACTGCTCCCCTGCCAAAAGAACACATTTTACAGGAGCTTCAGGAAACAAGACTAAAGCAAATTCTCTATTCAAAAAGTCTTGGTCTGATTTTTTTTTTTTTTAAATAAATGTCTATGGATCACCATTCAAATGCATGCCGTGATTTGAGTCACTGGTAGCAGCACTAGACTTTAGCAGTGGGCTCCAAATAATACCCACAGAAAAATCTGAACCATATATCACACATCAGTCCAATCTTTCATGCATAGGTACAAATCTTCAGCACCTAAGACCAATCAAGGTGACCGTCATCCCACTTACTACTATAAATCTGCTCCAAACTTACTTATTTAGTTTTCCTTTTATTTTTAGGCATTGAAATAAGCAGGAAAGAAGAAAGGCTGGCCATACCACCACCCTAGAGACCTCCACTTTACTGCCAGCCCTCTGACAATGGCTGCATTTGAAAAAGTCACTGAGATCTAGTAGTCACCTGGCCTTCTCAGACGAATCTACCATCAATCCTTCTCCACCTTCAAAGCCAATGACTGAAGGCCATCTACACCCCCTCGAAGTGCAACACTTGCATCAAACAGTGACCACCCCTGTACAGTAGCAGATGGAGGAAAAGCTGGGCAGGAGGAGAGCCTGAAGTATGTAATTTATTCTGTCAGAAGCAAAACCAAAGTCATTTGACTAGAGTAAGTTAGCATAAGAAAGCAAAATAGAATATGACAGTCTGTACATTAAATTTCCTGGAGAGGTGGGAAATTGGAAAGAACTGGTGATGTGAAGGCAGGTTTATCACTACCTCCATCACCTCCTTCTGGAGTTTACACGCTGTCCTTGACGTGACTAGCCCCCTAAGTGAGCTAAAGGGGTAATACTTACCTGCTGTAAACAGGAATGTTTAGAGTTATGTTATGCCTAGTAAGATAACTATTTCTGAAAAAACATCATCTAGCAGACATGTTCTTAAAGTAAAAAAAGGTGCCCCTTATTATGTTATTCTCAATGTAACATCATTTGAATTCTGGGCAACCAACTAGTTTTGAGGATTATCAAAGTAATAAACATCTGAATCATTAGCTGAATCAAAGGCCTGCCAAGTTATGAAAGCTAGTTACAGAACATTTTATATACCTAATGCCTCGTTTTCTTCACACTGTGGTCAGAATAGAGCTAACAACCAGTGTCCTTACATGCTACAAAACAATCGTAATAAGAATCCGGAGATACCTGAAAAGAAAATAAGTTCTGGTCAACTGCTCCTTTTCAAAAGCTTCAAACTACATTGGATCTTAAGGTGGGAGTGTGTAGGAAATTTGTTCTGACTGACAAAGCACCTCTTGCCATGCAAGGATACTCACAAAGGAAAATGCTTTTAGGCATAAAAAACCCCCAACCTTTATTTATTGAGAAAGACTTAATGGCAGCTCTCAGGACATCTGCCTAGAGGCAGCTGGTATAAACCAACATAATATTTAGAATATAACTTGTCAACAAGGTTAAATCAGATTCAGATAACTTCTATTTAGACATGAAGATCACTGTGCCTTAAGAAAACAGCAGAAATCCACGGGAACACAATAAAGTTGGATGAAGAAAATTGCTGCTAAGTCATCTCCATGTACAGAAACATTAGAGCCTGTACACTACCAAGACTTGGAAGTATGACCACAAACCTGTCTTCAAAATCTATTTGCCATTTGCCATGGACATGGTAAATAACACTAACTTATTGTCATAATACATAAATGTGCATAAGTAAACATTCTTAGTAAGTTGAAATGTGGAAATAATTATGAAATCAATAATAACACTCACAAAATAGAAATAGTTCTGAGCAAAAACCCAAGGTAAATCACCACCCATATGGGCTAACAGAACTGAAAGCAATTACAATGCTATTGTACCTAAAGACCTAAAGAGGAAATTCAACAATGGAACCTGACATCTCATGTCTGGCACCTCTTTAAAGAAGCTCAAAGGAGAGGAAATGTAACGTACCGTATTTAAATCTTTATAAAAGAGTAATTAGCAGTTTTCATCTTACTCTGATTAAAAAAAGCATCTAAATTTGGAGGTGATCTTGTGCTAAGATAATGAGACCATATACACACCCAGGAAGAATTAAAGTAGCTGGATAAGCTCTTCAGGAGCAGTTATTTAGCTTTCTGTCTGGATTAACTGAATAGCTTTTAAGGTGGTGCTATCTTAGCATTTAGAAAAATCACATGGCCAAAAAAGGAAGAGAACAGTAAAAATATAATGAATTCTGCTTCCAAACCACTCAGCAGCATGAAAGCATAGTTTTGCACACTTACTCATCCATGTTCTAACAAATAGAACATTAAATGAGATTCTATTTGAACTGCCAAAAATCACTCTGGAAGGCAGGATAAGTACCAGTGCCTAATGGATGTCGGGGAGGGGGGCGGGGACGGGGACACAGCAGAAGCGGGGGCAGGAAGGGTGGTGCAGGTCACAGTAGATCGCAGCCTCAGTGCTGAAGCCTTTTGCAGCCTATGTCTGAGATAATTCCAGGAGTTGTGCAGGTGCCACCTTACTTAAGTATTGGACTCAGTGTAGAGAAAATTTACCTCAACTCTCTGCAAAATGTCCTCCAGGGCTCACAGTGAAACATATTTCCTCCTACCCAGCCAGAAACTCCTGTTTCTAAACTTATGCTCAGCACCCATTGTTCTTCCACCCAGAACAAGGCTCTGTATGTATTATTCGTAACATTTCTTCTTCCTCTAGTCTTGGGAGTCTGGGGAGGTCCCTGCTATCTGGAAGCTGGCCAGCATTAGTCTAGTTTAACAGAAGGGCATGAGGGAAGACCCAGGGAAGTACAGACATGTTAGTCTAACCTTAGTACCCGGCAAAATCATGGAGAAGATTATACTGGGTGCTACTGAAAGGCATTTGAAGGACAGTACACTCATCAGGCACAGTCAGCGTGGGTTCATGAAGGGGAAATCCTCTATAACTAATCTGATATCCTTCTACGACATAGTCACCCACCTAGTGATGGAAGGGAAGGTGGGGGCTGTAGTTCTTCTAGATTTTAGTAAGGCTTTTGATACTGTCCCTCACAGCATCCTTCTGGACAAGTTGTCCAACTGGGGGATGAGCAGGTTCACAGTGTGCTGGGTGAAGAACTGGCTGAAGGGCAGAGCTCAAAGGGTTGTAGTGAATGGGGCTACATCTGGCTGGCGACCAGTCACCAGCGGTGTTCTTCAAGGGTTCAAGGGCCAGTTCTGTTCAATG